ATTATTATTATCTTTTTGCTTGACTGTCTCGCTTTCAGTGTAATTATGTTGCTGCGTTTTGTTTTGTTTTTAAAAAAAAACAAAACAAAACAATTATTTTTAAAAACAGATACCATACAATTGGAAATAATTATTTTATATTTAATCCAATTCTCAATTGTTATTACTTTAGAGTTGTTTCCAACTTAACACCTATTGTTGGACACACTGGTCGTTCCAACTTGGCCCTAATAAGTCAACCTGGAGCCAGAACGATTAAGTAACAATAAATTGGAAGAAGAAGAAAAGGAAGGAAAACAACTTAACAAGATTGCTTAAGTACTTAAAAGGCTGATAACTGTCCCTTGGTGTACAAAATTTACCAATATTTAGTGGAAGAAATCCCAGTAATTAAAAATTGCTCGTTTTCCAACTAATTATTATTACCATTATTATAAGCAATTATTGATTACAGACTCAACTAACCTGAGTTCAACAAAATCACGTGTATGTCCTTTCCCAGGCCAAAGCTGATACAGCCACTGGGGACACTGACATACTGCCATAGTGTGTGAACCACCAGTGGTGCACATAGAAGTGCTTGCTGATCCTGCTATTTACACTACTGCTCTCTTTAAGTCTAGCCCTGATGGGCAGTATCCTCTGCTCGACCCATGACAGAGTCAATTAGCCATGAAAGCAATGGGTATCACCTGATACCAGCACTCAGTGACTGAGGCTCATGCATGGTCTCAATCAAGAGTGCATTCAGTCTTTTCCCCCCATGTTGATCCCAGCAAATCTCAAGAGAAGATTGTGCAGAAAAGAGCTAGAAGGGAGTTCTCTGGGTTCCAACATCCAAGACGTGCTTGCTATATCACAGAAAGGGAGGGCCACTCCGAACATCATTTGTTTCCTTCTACCCCAACCCCACCCTGAAAATATTAAGAGGACTCCTCATATTTTTCAAAGGGAAATGAGCACAGTAGCCATCGTTAACACATCTGCATAGTTTGTCTTAACTTTGGTCAACCCTGATCAGTCTTTGTCGATCCCCAGAGCCATGACCAAATTTCTGTCTTGGACTGAGAAATAAAAACAAGACTCAGCAGCTTGTGTGCCCATAAAGCCACCCTCTGAATTTTCATTCCCAAGGAGGACAAAAATTATTTCTGGCACCCAGAGTTGCCTGCCTGGTTCTTTGGAGTTACCACATCAAATTCATTCGAGTAAATTTTCTTTATCTCTACTGCCAGGAACAAAGATGAGTCACCAGCCCAAGTGAGTTCCTGAGAATCTGGTCTATCCTATACTAAACCTGCAGCCTGTTTTCTCTCTTTCCTAGACAGCATATTGTTTTTACTTTGTATGTTGTTGGTGCTAAGTGGTGACAAATGATGTCAAGGATTTCATTCTGCATGGACTACCATCACTCCCCATGGAGGCATCAGTCAAAATCAAATGAGCCTCTCAGGTAGGAAGGCAATCAAAATATGACTGGGGAAGAGCTGCATTCTCAAAGCTCCTTATCATTGGCCAATACAAGGCCAGGGGCAGACTGTGGAACATACCATCAATTGTTCATATGCAAGTTCAAGCGGAAGCTGAAGAAAAAACAAGTCCACGAGAGTCAAAATATGACCTTGAACATGCAGTACTTGAATTTAGAGATCATCTCAAGAACAGATTTGATGTGTTAGACACTAATGACTGAAAACCAGAAGAGTTGTGGTGTGACATCTAGAACAACATACAGGAAGAAAGAAAAGACCAAAATGGATGTCAGAAGAGACTCTGAAACTCGTTCTTCAGCATAGAGAAGCTAAAGCACATGGAAGAAATGAGGAGGTAACAGAGTTGACTAGAAAATTTCAAAGGACAGCTCCAAAAGACTAAATTATTACAATGAAATGTACATATACCAGGAGTTAGAAAACCTAAAGGGCAGAACTTGCTCAGCACTGCTCAAGCTGAAAGAACTGAAGAAGGAAAAAAAAAAGAAGCCTCAAGTTGCAATATTCAAGGATTCTATGTGCAAAATATTGAATGATACAGAAAGACCCAAAAGAAAATGGAAGGAATATACAGTCACCATACCAAAAAGAAATGGTTGATGTTCAACCATTT